GGAATTTATCTTTCGAAGATAGTGCATTTCATGCATTACGTTGTATGTATACTAACCCACATATTTGATCGAGAATTTTTCACTTGTATGATATTTTTACTGCATCAATAAAGCTGGCCGTGTATTTCGGGATTTAATATGTTGTATTGATATCGACGTATATGATCGGGAATTTTTTCTTGGTATTTTTTTGGCGAACTTTTCATCAAAATAGTTCGCTGAAATTTCATCAGATGATTTACATTAACACAATAAAGAATTGAATATATCCGTATTTTATATTATATAAAAAATGGCAAACAAACAATCCAAAGTCGATTCATTAGAAGAACGAATTTCCAAGCTTGTAGCTGAGAATGATATACTTAGACGGGAAAACACCGAGATCAAGTCTGAGAATATCGAACTTAAAGCCGAGAACGTAAAATTAAAACAAGCCTTGGAAGAACATGAATCCAGATTTATAAAACTGGAGCAGAACGATAAAGATACCGCTTCGGAAAACGCTGAACTTAAAGCTAGGGTTGCGAAATTGGAGCAGAAACAGTTACAAACCGACGAAGAAAAGAGCAACCATATTATATTACGAAGTAATGGCCGTGCCAGCTCCGCTGATGCTCCCGCATCTAAATCGGATGATGATACCAGAGAAATCAGGCCCAAAGGGGCGGTCTTAAACGATCACCAACCTCCAGTTAATATCACCTCTATTGAAACGGAAAATTCTAACGATGCTCCTGAACAGACAAACTTACATTGCGATGATACTCTTGCAACTAATATATCTGATAACACTTCAAATTCTGATGTACGTCAGGAGCTTTCATCCCAATATCCCGCATCACCTATCCGCACAGAGAGTAAATCATTGGAAGACAAGGAAATGGATATCTTCCATGATTCAGTATATAAGGAAAGAGTTAGTAGAGAAATAATTCAGAATATTAAAGAAAAGAAACTTCGGGATCAAAACTTATCTTCGGATAACTCGTCAAAACCATCCAATTCATCACGTGATATAAAAACCGTTCCCTCGGGGAACGATCAAGTTTCAAATTCATCATGTGAAACAAAAACCATTAGTTCGGGGAATGATCAAACTGAAATATCTGAATTGGAGCAAGACGATGGGACTGATAAAAATCAAATTGTAGAGCAGGGCTTAATAGAAGAATTGGGTATATCTACTGAGAAGCAAGGCCTCACGACCCTTGGATCGCCCTTTGGGCCCAATTCTGCAATAGATAATACTAGCTCTACTGAAATTAATACATCGGAGAATAAAGGTTCAGCTCAATATCTATCTTATTTATTTAAAACAGCAATCAAATCTCGACAACAGGAAATCTTAAATTGGTATTATTATTCTCTTGAATTTGAAAACAAGGTTCGTGCCATTACATCTGGTGGCAAGATCAAAGACAAGACGGCAAGATCAATGATTTATAAAGAAATGAAACCTTTTCTTCCTAATATTACGCAAGATAATTTGCGCAAAAAAACTCTTAGAGCTAGAAAACTTCTTATGTTATTCGGGGAAAAGGAAGTTGGGATGGATAAAATTAAGCTAATTACATATAGTGCGAATGAGATTTCAAAATTGACTAATGCACAAATTCAGAATATTATAGATCAGGTGAATTCAAAAACCGTTCCCTTGGGGAACGATCAAACCAAGAAAACTTTGCCCGAAACAGAGGTGAGTACTATAACCACTCTCTTTATCCCATTGTCTCCCATCTCTAATTCGGATAAGACAAGTGAGGAATTTAAATCTTTATCGGAAACTGAGGTAAGTATACCTACTGAACCATCTCATACCTCTAGCCATTCTGTGACTGCCTTCGGCAATTCAGAGGATGCGATAAATGAAGACGTTAAATCTTTACCGGAGACCGAGGTAGGCACATCATCTGATCTAACTCATGACCATGCTTACTTTCGTAATAAGATATTGTGCAGATATTCTGATCTATATAAAACATTTATTACTAAAAAATTCGATTACTATGATATTATCGAGGGATCATTATACCCAGTATGTAAATTAAATCATGAAGATGGGAAAAGTGTAAAAGGTAGATATGAAGCTGGATCCTATTTTATTATGTGTGGAGAGCGTGAAATCAAAATAACAGTATAAATAATAAAGTCATACTGCCTTCGAAATTCTCTGGTTTCAATTAATTAACTATATATTTTTTTAATTACTATTTTGGGATATGCACAGAGTGTCAATACGTAAGCATCCTTGGTATATTCATACTTAATTTGAATTTGCGATCATATAAAACAATAACATGGATAAAGCCTTAACCCCGAATATTTGAACTGGCATACTAAATTGGTTGATTCGCTGAGTCAATTGACAAATAAAATTCGTTTGAGCTTATATAGGGCGTATACGGAAGAGACTGGACTCGATCCCTGGATAAAGTCTGAAACTTCTGAATTCCCACAAATCGAAAAGGATGTTGAGAAAAAGACTTTATTCGTACCGTGGGTAAATGTTCAATCTATACCATCTAAATGACAATTCCCAATTTCTGTTCTACCTAGAGACCCGGAAGAAAAGCAACAACACGTTATTAATATGGTATTAGAGCGATTTCCTTATTTAACTC